TTTTTTGATGGTTTAATGGCGTCTTCAATGATGATTTGGACCTTCATTTTGTCTAATATGGGGGAACGACTTGTTTCAGTTCATTTTTACTGCTTAAAAATGGCTATCTTATTTTCTCTACTTTTTTTCTTTGAAATTAGTTTTATCAGTTTTGTCTTAATGTTTCAGAGTCATAGTGATTGATTAATCTGCCGGTAAGGTGAGGATTTCTCTATCTGCAGAGTAGTGTTTTTTGTGTTTATCTGAGTACTCATTGGTAGTTGAGTGCTTTCTTTCGTCAGGGTTTAGAGCATAGATTTTTGTAGGAAACTGTGCTGATATGATACCTGCTACGGTGCTACCCTTTGCATTGAGATGCTGCTACATGCGTACACAAGTCGAGATACTATACGACATTTTAGTTTTTTTTTCCTATGGTTAACATGAGTGTAGTAATAAACTAACTCACTATATCTAAACTTCAAAGAGGATTGCTGAACATATTATATTTTTCTGGATTCTGTAATTTTGTTTCTTTTATAGTGTTGTTACTTGTATCCATTTTTATCTCTTATTTTCATAGTCTAATGAACTGTCTCAAGATGCAGGTGGAAAATTTGCTTTTTCCGTTTTTACAGCATGTGAGACATCTTTTTTGTTCATATATTTTACATTCTGCTTAGTCCTTGTTCTTGCATTGAAATGAAAAATGCTTGCCATCTGTTCCATAGATTCACACAGGTGTTGTCTGTTTTGTGTATGTCTCTTTATTTTGCTCATAACGCATAAATAAGAAATATTGTTATAGATTTCTGTCTAAGTAACCACATCTGATTTTATATTCACACTGACAAATAAGTTAAATATTTACTAGAGGTATGTCAGTAGTTAATTTGGAGCAAAAGGCAGCTGAAGAAGATTTTGTGTATGGGTTTTCTTTTGTGGTTAAGATGTCATTTGTTTATATCCCTTATCATTGTTTTGTCTAATGAGTTACTTTAAAATGATGGGTGTAACTTTTTTTTATTCAATGGCCTGGTGCTATGCTTTTCTCTAGGCATTATGTTCTTTTGTATTTTTCATTTGTGTGATTCTCAAAATGTTTGATCTGTTTCTAGCGTTGGATACAGATAAAAAGATGCGCATTTTATGACTTTTTTTTGTCAGTAAGTACATATTTTGGTTTAACTACTTTAATATTGAACGAGGATCACAGGAATTATTGCAGATATAAATGTAATTAAGTGAATATTGCTACAGACTAAACAGCTTAACTTCTAATAGGAACATTATTATTCAAATCTGTTATCTTGTGTGGTAGCAATCTCTAGTACCGTTTCCCTGTTCTTGGTTCATTCTTGTGGTGTGTCGCTGCTGTTATGCTCCAAATTTGTTCATTTTCTATATTTACCATCTCAGATTGTTAATAAAATTAGTCGGAAAGTATTATTTGTCTAGCATGTTCCGTACTGACTAGGAGATAAACAGGGAGATAGTTCTGGTGGCACAAGGAAAGAAAAGCTGGTTTGTATTTTGGCATCCTTGTCTCTACTTCATTAACACCTCTGTTCTTTAATTTTCATTTATCTTTATAGGTTTTTGAGTTGTTTGAGGTGCTAAAATATTACAAGCATGTCAACCGAACTTTTTCAGGCTTTTTTGGCTTAAAGTAGTGAATTTGTGGCCCATGTTTGACAATGATGACTTTACAACATACGTTGTAAGAAAAATAATTCATTAGGTTTTATTTTTAATTTAGTTTCTTTGGTTTGAATCTACTAGGTGTTTTAAGTTTATCAGTCTAATTATTGTGCAGGGTTTTATACAGGTGGAGGCCAAGTGATGACTATTGTTTGAGGCATGAGTTTAGTATGTTACCTTAGAATATTCTTACACTTAAGGCCATGGCATGAGTTTTATGGGTTTTGTATGCACATGCATTGTTTAGCGCAGGAACAGCAAAGTGACAAGTTATTCCTTAAAGTGTGATATGAGGTCCAAGATAGAAATTATCTAGGCTAATTTTTTTCTAAAAGGTTGTTTAGCCTTTTGATTTACTACAGATGTAGTAGTCATCTGCATATGATTGTGCATCTGAATTTGGTGAATACGGATATAACACAATTGAGGCCCTTTATGGTTTTTGGACTCATATATGATATGAAAGTCCCTAGTTTCGATTCATGAAATCTTTACTACTTTTTCTCATCCTTGGCAAATTCCACAAGAGGGTGACTTGAAATCGAGGTCAGTGTACAACTGTTGTAGTTATGTAGTTCCACTTACCTGTGAGATGAAGGTGATTATTTAAAGTTGCGGCACATGTATAACCTTTAGCTATTGTAAGTCTTGGTATGCCCCTATGCTTTTTGATGAAATTTAGAAACTGTGTAATTTCCATGTGTGAGACTCGCTCTAATGACTAGGCTGGAGCTAAGTTGATTTAGATATTGTTTCTTTTTTTTTTTGCAGTGTCAGGTTCCTTAGCGTCCTTCAAATACCAATGAGTGATGTGACTGACCAGATAGTGGAGAAGCATGTAGAATCGTTCTCAACTCTGACTGTGTTGGACATTAGTTACTGTCTGAAGATCACCTCCAAGGGCATGGAAGCACTGGGGAAGCACTGCAAGGCTTTAGTTCAACTGACGAGGAATATGCCTCCACCAGAATTTGAGACAACCCAGGATGATGGTGTGGCTGCCAAGGTGGATGAGGAGGAAGCCATGGCTATAGCCAACAATATGGCTGGGCTTGAACATGTAGAGCTTGCATACGGGAAGTTCAGCCACCATGGGTTGGCAGCAATTTTGACTAACTGCACAGCTCTTAAAATCCTTGACGTCCGTGGGTGTTGGAATGTTAAGATGGAAGACAACATTGAG